CAGGGAGAGCTCCCCGGTACCCCTGCGGTGACTCCGTCCCTCTTCCCGTTGCAGGCCGGGCGAAGGCGCCGCCGGGACTCCAGGAAGGCCGGGCCGGCCCCAGGACTACGGGCGCAGCGAGGCGGAGGAAGAGAGCACCGGAGGCCGGCAGGAACAAGGCCACGGTCAAGGGCAGGGTCGTGAAGTCGGCGATAGGTGAGTCCCGGCCCCTCCACAGCCCTCGCACCGGGGACCCTTGTGGCTTCCCGCAGCCACGTTGCCGGTCGCTGTATCCGTCCCGTCCCACCTCATCCTCCTGCACGCCCTCTTGGTGTCGCTCACTTACACGCAGCCTCGTTTGTGGGGGCTATCCCTGAGCTGTAGCGGTGTTTGGTTCCCGGGACTTTGCTGATCCTCCTGTGTCTCTCCTTGTGAGCTGTCTGGATGAGCAGCTGATGCGTTTTGTCCCTTTCTGCTTTGCCCCAGAGGAGTACCATAAGAAGAAGCCTGTGAATCACTTGAGAGAAAACCTGCGGTACATGTTAAAGGGACGACTTGTTGCAGACAAAGCCGTCACAGAACAAGTAAGAATGTAATTTCTTTTGAGGGGGGGAGCGGTTCTGTTTCCACTGATGAACACAGGTGAATGGGAATGATCCCTGGATCTTCCAGATCTGTACCTTGCACAAGAGAGTCAAGTTTCTGTCTACACATGGCCTTGAGGAATTTCTGTGTGCACTGGCAAAATAACTTACTAAGCTTTAAACTGTTGCTGATAGGTTGCCCCCTATGATGTTCTCTCATACTAGTGAAAATCATAGAATCATAGAATGGTTTGGGTGGGAAGGGACCTTGAAAGATCATCCAGTTCCAACCACCCTGCCATGGGCAGGAACGCCACCTGCTACATCAGGTTCCTCAAAATATCCTGACAGCTGTTGGCTTTTATTAATTACAAAAGATATTTTATAGTTTCTACTGGCAGAGATGCGCTGTTTCAGACCTTTTCCTTACTGTTGACCAAGTTGTCCTTCTCTGTAGCCTGAGGCTTATTTACTAGGAACCAGATGTGCTGCTGGCTCATGTAGTAGGAATTACTCAGCCTCTTAAATGGTGTTTCTCATAACTTGAGAATTTCTTGAATGGTCTTCCCCAAAAGGTAGTCTCATGCCAGGATTTGAAGGGAAGAATAGCTGACAGTGAAGAATCTTGGGCTGTTTTTATGAGATACAGGCTGTTAACTTACATAAACAAACGAAGTGGTTTAGGCCAGTCTTCCTCAGGCTGGAGATTGTGACAGGAGGTGATAGTGTATTAGAAAATGCTGAGGGAATTGGTTTTTTGGTTTGTGTCATGGAGAGAGGGGATAATAAAGAAGGTCATGGTTTCAGAAAATTCTGAATTTAAATCAATGTTCTTACCTCTGTGACAATTACTAGAAAATAGTTTTCATATTTGACTCCAAGTAACAAGGTGGTATCTGCTGTTGTCCCAGTGACCAGCTTGGGTTAACATCAGTGGTTTGCCTCTCACATTTCTTGGGAGGCACGCTGGAAAATAGCAGGGCTCTTGTACAACAGCAGGGATGCTGCAGGAGAACTTGAAAATCACTGTGGTTTGATCTGGATAACAGTGACTGTTGTTTTTTCCATTTCTGTATCGTCTGAAGGTTCTTGCTCAGAACAGAGGCAGGAAGTCCAAAGATCAGCCTCCAGAGAAGACAGAAAAGAAGAAGCCCGAAGGCACAGTGTTTACTGAGGAAGATTTCCGTAAATTTGAGAGGGAATACTTTGGTGTCCCATAAGCATTGTGACAGGGATTCTTGCAGCTCCAGTCTTTCTGCAGCTTCTCCGGTCTGGCTTGCAGGCCTGGGCATTTCCTTGGCGTGTTTGAGATGGCACATGGGCCATGTGCCCCTGCCGGCAAGTGCCTCTGTGTCAGACTTGCAGAGCAGCTCTGCATCTGGGCAGAGCTTGTCACTGGCCTGCTAAAGCCACAGAGGTGCTCTTGGCTCTGAGGTGTGTTTTCCTTATAATTATCTTCCTGCAGCCAGCGTGTCTTGCATTCCTGATATAGAAGGGTGGACCAAGCCAAATAAAATCCTTTTTCCCCTTCCCCAGGATATAAGACTCCTGCTACCAGTGTTATTTGGCAGGGAGCATTGAAAATACTGTATCTGAATGGAGAAATGTTTTGTACTGGGATTAAGAAGGGAAGGATGCTTTGAAAGACTGTTAAACTTGAGTAACTCTGCAGTTTGGGTTCTTATTACAGCCCCTGTCAGGTCTGTCAGTCATTGCAAAAACTTTTTGTATGTCATTTGATTAAATAATTGTTGCAGACACTGTCTCTCTTTGCTTTTGTAGTAGTGATTATTATGACAGTTGATGAAGATGAGGCATGTCACTGCTGTGATCCAAGCATTCCTCTCTTTAGGATGACTCAGTTGTGTGAATGGCCTCTCCAATTCATGTTAACACATATATTAAATCATCTCTCTGACATGCTTAGGTCTTCAAAGAGTGCAGGTTGGAATGGAGATGACTCCTCCATTCTGGCTACTCCCTCTCTCCAAGAAACAGCTCTCACATGGAGAAAGTTGTCCTTTGAATGTTTGTAGCAGAGTGTCCCACCGAAATTTAGCCAGGCCAGCAGGGCGCCACTGCTGAGTGTTGCCAGGTCCTGTAGCCAGGAGGGCTTGTGACCCTGATGTTAGGTGTTGGCATCAAATTAAAATCTGAGCCTGAGCTTGTGGTGCTGGGTTGAAGGGAAGTTGTTTTCCCTCAGACTACCACTAAATTCCCAGCTGTAACAAACAGAAGGCCCAGCAGATGGGAGTGTTGTTCCAAAAACTTCTTCTTTAAACCACTCTAAATGTGCCTCTGGCAAGCTCCGCCACTGCCTTCTCCTGCCCTTACCTAAGAAGATGGGTAATGTGTTCCCTTGGGGAAAAAAAACAGGTAAGGAGATGGACTAATGCCAAGCTTTGGTTAAGCTCAGGAGTTGATTACAAGGAGCCTGTCTGACCTGAGCAGCAGATCCTTGATGCCAGCACAGGCAGGAATTCACTTATCCTTTCCCTGCCCTCTGATTATAATTCCTGGTGCTGTCCTCTTGAGTCCGTGCCTCCTCTGCTGAGTTCTTTTCCCCTTGTCTGCATAAGAGGGAAGGTCACTTGGACACATGAGATCCTGAGAGGGGAAATAAGCAGTGAATATACAGAAGTGTGTGTGCTGGAAATTGGTAATAGCATGTGGGAGGGGATTTCTTGTAATAGGATCAGGTTCAACTATCTGCAGGCAAAGAATATAGAAATTGTTCAAAGAACAATTCCCTTTTTTCAGTTGGTTCTTGCTTCCAAAAAGTAAAAAAAAAAAAAAAAAGAAAAAAGAAAAAAAAAGCTTCTTAAAAGAATGGAAGCACTATTGTTTGAAGAAAAAAGTTTAGCAAAATGTGTATTCATCACGTGTCTCCCTAAAACTTCTACACTATGTGCCTGCTGCGGTGCATGTGAGCTGGCCTCACACAAGCAGCTCTGTGTGGAGCTGTCATGAGAATAATTAACTGTGAAAAAGCTGGCTGTGCCACAACTGGACTGAAAGAGATAGATTTCTGGGGTGTTATTTTGTTTTAAGCCTTCATTTTCAGTATTTGGCATTTCCTATGACCCTACAGAAGTCCTTCAAGTCCTCTCCTGCTCCTCCTCTACCCATTCCTCCTACGCACCCTTGTTTCTGTGGTTGTTCAGCTCCTGGGCCCTTCTCCCACAGGCTGAGGGAAGCAAAAACATCCTTCCTTGCTCCAGAAAAGGGCAGGAGGGTAATGTGGTTCACTCTCTTTGTACAAAGCCCAGCCTGTTTGTTTGCAAATGTAAGCAACAGGAAAGCTCTTCTTTCAAAGTTAATGAGGAACTTTAAAGTGGGGCCCAGAGCAGTTCTCCACGAGGATAATAACACCCAGATCAGTGGAGTTTCAGAACTGGGTGGCGGCTTCATTACTGTCTGGAAAGACTATTAGGGCCAAGTAATCAACATACTTCTTCAGGCATTATGTTAAGGAGGGTAAAGCTACCTGACAGACTGAATTTTGCCATTTGAAACTAAACTTAAATGTAGAGTCAACAGTATCCTTAAATAAATTAAACTTTATTTTGTAGGAAAAAGGAAAAAGAAGCAGAAGTGAATGGTGGTTCTAGAGATGCCATCTTGCAATGGCAATGATCTAACATGTTGCAACCTTGACTTTCCCCCTCTCTGGCAGGGCATGAGCTCCTAGGAAAGAAGAGCAATGCCATCTGAATACTGGGGAGATAAGGACAGGTGGTACCCTGGGAGGAGACTGTCTTCAAAGAAGGAAGAACAGGTACCAGCCTGTTGCATGTGCCTGGTGTTAAGCTAAAGCCGGGTACCTTCTCATACTCCCAGCAGTCTGTCTAGCCATGCCCAGAGGATCCCAGCTGTGCTGGGACACCAGGAGATGGCTACCTTGGAGAAACCTGCCCCATCCCTGTAGGTGTTTGAGGCAAGGCAGGATGGGGCTTCGAGCAACCTGCTCTAGAGGAAGGTGTCCCTGGCAGGGGGATTGGAATGAGATGATCTCTAAGGTCCCTACCAACCCAAACCATTCTATGATTCTGTGATCTCTGTTCTTTGCAGCCAGACTTCTCTGCCCAATGGAAGAGACAAGAAGGAGTTAGGGAAACAGCAGCTGCTGTAGCTGCTTTTCCTAGTTGGCCTCCAACCTGTTTCCCACACTGGAAGCTGACAGGCTGCAGGCCACAACAACCTTTGGACCTGCTGGACAGCATTTCTTTCCCGCGCATCTGCAAGCAGCAGCGCAGGGACGTGTCCCACTGCTGCCGGGCCAACGCCGCGTGCTCGCTGAGCTCATCAGGCTGCTGGCTCCCTTCCCAGCTCTGCGACACCAGCTGAGCATCCTGCAGCAGAAAATAGAGGTAGCTGAGCTAGGGAATTGTGAGGTGCCATCTTACAGGGCATCTCCACCCACACGTAGCAGGGAGTCAGAATGGGCAGCAGTAGCGGCAGCTTTAATATGAATGCAAGTAAAAGCTCTGGAGTGTTATTAATGTGATAGAACCTTTCCAGGGAAACTGTTTAGGATAGTTCCCAGATGCTCAGCCGTGAGCTCGCTTAGTGTGAATAAGATTCATCAAGCCTCTTAATGGCCTACTGCTCCCTTGTTATGTGAATGGAAAGCAAAAAAAGGAAATTTGTTCCAGTGGGTACAAACTAATGTAAGTCCATACAGCCTCTGCTCTATCAGCAAGTCTCCACTTACCTCAGAAGGCAACAGCTACTACCAGAACTACGTGTGTGCCAGAGAGGGGAAGGCTGCAAAAGTAAACCAAGGAAACATGTTAGTTCGAGACATCTACTTCTTGCCTCTGAAATGATATAGCAGTAACAAACCTGGCTGCCAATGAACTTGCACAGGCAAAAGAGACTGAAAACATTGAAAAAGCTGTAGGGGAAAATCAAGGGATAGGGGAGGGTCCTAAAAACCTTAGCCAATTTTACCCTCTGAGGGTTTTTCCATGACTGCCTTACATTTCAGTCTTACGATCAACACAGCATCAGCACCTACAGCACTTACAGGCTCCTGACCACCTCAGGAAGTTACAATGAAAGGAAGTTCCTCATTTTGAGACATCCACTCAGGTCGAAACAAGGAGTGTGAAAGAAGGCAGACTGCCTACTGTCTGCTTACAGCTCAAAATGTGGAACTCCAGCCAAGGCAGGCTGCAGGGTTGGTAGGTTGGAGAGGGATTAAAGGTTTGCATGTCTATCTGCAGTTACGTTAAATAGGATTAACAGAGACAGCCGCTATCTGCTGGGGGCAGGGGACACAAAAAGCATGAAGGTTGCTCTGCAGCTGTCTACAGGGTTTCACACACCTTTTTCTGAAGGAATAAGCTATGGGAAGGCTAAGCAGTAACGTAGCCAAGCTGGCCTGTCCTGAGCTGCACCATTTGCATGCCAGCAAGATGATTTATCTCCTTTAATGGGAGGCAAAGACCAGGGCTCTTTCTCCACCTGCCCGCACGCTGCAATGGAGATGCAGGGGAGTTTCAGGACTAGGAGATTCTCTGCCCTATATATATTAAGCTGACACATCTGCTGCGCCTGGAACTCACTTCTGCCATTCCTTAAAAGGGTGTGTGCGTGTGAAAGAGAGGAAGAGAGCAGCTGAAGGAGAAATGAGAGGCAGCTGGCCATCACTTGGAGAGCATGCACCTCTGTAACAGGGAAACTGGAGCTTGTGGGTGCAGCCAGCTTCCTTCATTTGGTGACTTCATTCACTTATGACACTGCATGAGTGCACTGAAAATAATGCAAAGGCAGCATACCTGGGATATCTGAGCAGCCAAAGTAGTATTGTCTAGGTCAGGGGACTGAATTCCTCTGTTAATTCACAGGGCCTGAAGGATTTCAATGGGAAAGTCAGCAAAGGTGAGCACTTCTGGCCCAGAAAGGGATGTTCAAAGTAAGACCCCAAGATGGCCTTTGCAGTGGAAATTAAAGGTAACGAGAGTTTATGTGCAGCACTGCATGGCAAGGCTGTGAAAACAGCAGGACAGAGGAAAGAAGGATAGTCCCAGAAGCTACTTGGACCATATTAAGAAAAAATCAGTATGCATAAGATGAAAACAATGCCTACAGGAAAGACAATTCAGATCCTGTTTGGGGTTTTTTTGTTGTTGTTGTTGTTCTAGTTTGGGGTTTTTTTCTGAAAGCCTTAGTCTATGGGAAGATAAAGAAAACTGGTATTCTTCTGGCCAAAAATGTATATATTTCCCACCCCCCAAAAAAGGCTATGAATGGACTACCACTGTGTGAAACTGTTTGCATCAGAATAAGCCACATTTTCTTTCTATAGTCCAGCCTGGGAGCACTGGAAGAGCCTTCATCTCCCAAAGGACAGCCTGTCCTTGCAGCTATTTCTGGGCTTTCTGCCAGGGCAAAAGCTATTTGAAAGATTTTATCATCATTCTTTCTTCATTCCCCAACACTGCAGCTCTGGATTTATTTTTGTAAGCGTGCTGCAAAGGTGCATCTGGTTCTCCACAAAGGTGTGTGAAGAAGTCGTCTGCAGTGATGGTTTCCCCTTTTCCTTTTGAAAGAGAAGGGCATTTGGGTCTCTCTAAAGGCAGGGTGAAGAGGAAGGTAATTATAAATATTGTGATAACAGCAGAAACAAGCTTGTGAGACAGGGCTTTGCGAGCAGTGAACTGTAAGAGGTCGCTTGGTTTTGTGGGGGAATATTGAAGCTCCTGTTTACCATGAAGCACGAAATTGGCTGAGGGATTGGAGACTGAGGGTCACGTACACTGCGTGTGAAGTCTACTTTGCTGCCCTTAATTCAGAGGAAAAATAACTGAGACAGAAATCCCATCAGCCGTGCCAGCTTCAAACAGCTTTTATGTAACTCAGATTGGGAGAATTCTGCTGTTTCCAAGGATGTAGAAGAACTAGGCTCTTCTGGGGATAGGTAAAGCCTTCATTTCATGCACTACAATCTAATTCTGGACATGGTATCATGGTCTATGCAAGCTGCAAAGAGTCAGTTGAAGCACATTTTTTCTGTGAGGCTGTGAGAAAAATGAGAGAGGCTCCTGCAGTTTTGCAGTTTGAAAAATATAAAATGAGTTATTAGGCAGGAGGCTATCAGACTTTTTACCCTTGTGGGCTGGAGTTTGTGACAGTGTCCTGGGTGTTCCTTGGCTCCTGCTGCAGGCTGGACAAACTACTGAGCTGCAGAGCCAAGTGGTGTGATGCTTGCTGTGCCCAACAGAAGCCTGGAGGAAAATTCTAGATAAAAAAATGCAGAGGAAGAGTCAGCCCTGATCTCCAGCCCCTGTGAAATCTTAACTAAGTTACTAAGTATGGAACACAGCGTCATTTCAGCAGGCGTTGCATGAGATTGCCATATGGGCTGCCTCTGCAAAGCCACAAGCTCGGAGCCTCGGTAAGCACTGACAGCGCTGACTGCTCTTTAAGGGCAGCTTTCTGACTCTCCTGCACGGAGTTCTATAAAGCACGGCTGCAGAGAGCAAAGCAGCGTGGATGCGTCATGCATTCCTTCTTGCCTGCTCCAGCTCTGATCTTCCTTCCCTGGTGTGAGTGTAATTTGGTAAATTGGACCTGCATGCCCTCTGCAGGGCTGTAGGAACCAGAATCATGTATGTACTGGCCAGCTCAGACACTGCCCCGTCTGCCTGCAGAGCATGAACGTGAAGAAAAATTTGTTTTAGCCACAAGTAGCTCCCAGACAGCCCTGCCATGGGGTGGGGAGGGGAAAAATGTGCTGACAATTTTTCCAGGCTTCAGGAGAACTGAGTAAGGGCAGCAGAACACAGGAGGGTGCTCCCTCAGCCCTGGCTGCTGCCAGGGGCTGCCAGCAAAAGCTGCTATGGCTCTAAGGATGGTTGCCCTGTGGTGGGAAAGGGGGATCGGTACGAGGAGGGTTTTCCCTGGCACAGGGAAGGCACCAGCTCATAGACTCATAGCAGTTACTATGTTTTCTGTGGCTCAACTGAAATGTCATCTCAGGTGCAAATTTGACCAAAACCTTGGGGGTTTTCTGCCTCTAATTATCCCCATCCCCAACCCGGCAGATGTAGCTGATTCAAAGGAAACCTATTGCATTGGTCTACCTCTGAAACTACAAGAGTTCCTTGTCCCTGCTTGCAGTCTCCAGTTTTCATCCAGTACATCCCATTCGCACAGTGCACGGTCAACGGTGGCCTTAACCAGGAGGTTGGAGACTGCTCAAATTGTCTCATGATACCAAGGGGAGGGTGTTACTTATCCAACCCCCCCTCAGTGTGGCACAAGCCCTAACTCCTGAGAGGGAGCCTTCTTGCTGCAATTTAAATAGCACCCAGCCATGCAGGCACAGCTGTAGGCACAGACAGGTGCCACTGAGAGCCCTCTCATCCCCCCATGGCAGCAGTCAGCTCCTGATGCCAGCAGCCACCCGCACCATCCATGGGCTGGAGCAGCCTGCACACAGCAGGTCCCTCAGCTGCTATCCCACGTCAGGTAATGGCTTGGGCAAGGAGCAGGGATGAAGACTGCAGCCCTAACTTGAGGGCATCCCCAGCAGGCTGCAACTGGAGAAACCATTGTCCAAGGATCCCTTAAGGACCTTTTCCATCCAGCACGGGCTGCAGCCCCGATGCCACTGTGTGCCAGCCAGGCTGGGATGCCCAGGCACCCGAACCCAGCAGCTCAGGGAGCCACACCAGCGGCAAGTGAAAAGGAATCGACTCCTCAAAAAGTACGTGTGTGCCCACAAGCCAAAGGGATTAAGCACTGTTAAATGGGATATCAGTGGCAAAAAAAAAGTGCACACATGAAGTAGTCAAAAATGGCACATCCCAAATCCTAAAGCACCCCTAACCCACACAGAAGTGCTGCTGCAGCACACCAGTACCTTCCCTGCACAGCTGAGGCAGGACTAGAGCTGGTTTTATGACCAACTCAAGCTATAGCTTTCCTACGATAGTGAATTTTTATTTCATTTTAAAATTTGACAGGTCAGTAAGAAGTGAGGACTTTCACTCTGGTAGAGGAACGTGACCCGTAAGAGCACTACAGTAACCCCATCCATCTGGCCCAGCTCACACCAGTTTCACAGGGCCAGGCAACCGCTCCCCCTCATGGTTTGGGAACTTGGGAGACCCAGATGAGGAACTCAAGTGCACCAAACACTGGATCTACTAGCAAGCTTTTTCTTAAACCAGTGTTCACAACTGTGTTTTGGCCCCGGACCCTTTTCCTCCCTTCAGAGAAATATCGAAGTCTGAAATTAAGTACCTCCCACCATATGGCATTACTGACCTTGTCTTCCATTGGCTCTCCAATCTCAATTGTTTCAATAGACTTAGAGATTTGCTAAAAACCCTGAGGCACCTCAGTGTGATCCCCTCTCACCTTAGAGCACATGTGAATTATGGAGGGGGACAGGTCAACTGAGACTCTTTACACACACCCCAGTTCCAAACGCTCTGCACTTGCGCTGCATCCACCACCCACAACCCACAGCACTCTCCAGACACACAACAGCACCCAGGTGTGGCTCAAGTCACGCTGGTTTTACAGGTACCACTCATCACACACCATCATTGCACATTTACTACAAAATTATTTATTAGACAGCAATACACAGCTTTAGCAGGAAGCTTATATACATGCACACAACACTGCTGACTACCCTACTCGGGAACTCTAGTTCTTTTGCC